TTACATTCTCTCTCACCTTCTTCCCCTCCCTTTTTTTTCTCCTTTACGGTGTTTGATATCGTCACGTATGCAAAATTCTGACGAAATTTTGTCACAGTAAATAAAACATTTTTCCACCGTACGACGATGCATTCTACAAAGTGCACACTAATATCACGTACTATAGGTTAATAGCCAATATAGAAACCAATTAAATTGCATTTTATTTAAAATTCTTGGACTTATAAAGCAAATACAATTTTATAAATAATTAAATTTGTTGCTTAAACACTTAATCAGCAAGTAAACATTTGTTTACAATCATTTTCTGAGAATTTTTTTATATTTTCTTTATTTTAAAGTAATTATCGATACGTAAACAAAAGTGTTTCCGTTTAGATAAATTTATTGTAAATATATATAACAGTATAGTTTAAAGAATACGAATTATAACTATAGAAAATTTTTTTCAACCTTGCAAGGTCAAAATGGTTTCCGGATAGACCCACACAAAATTTATTTACAGTACATTTATATACATACTCATATATATGACATATCCGCAAATAAATTAGGTTAGTATACGAAAAATACTCCATACTTACAGCACAGCCTGTTATAGGAATTGAACAATGTATGAAGAACAGTTTTGTATTTCTGTATACCTATTAAATATAGTTATGTTTAACAGTGAAAACAAAATCAGAACCTCACACTTTTTAGTGTAGGTAATTAAAGCGAATATAGGCAATTGTAGTTTTGGAAGTTCTAAGTGGATCCGTTGAACTGAGGGTTTCTAAGTGGAACAAATGATTTAGTATCTTCAACCACTAACATAAATCATTTCAGAAATTTATTCATGTTTTATATTATATACATTTTATAATATAAAATGTATATTTATTCGTACAATATAACATACATGTTCTTTTCTTTTTTAATTATTCTTATCATTTCCACTTAATATTTAATAATTTATTATTTTAAGTACAAATTGCCTTTTTTTTCTCTAACCATATAGTGCAATGGACTATGTGGTTAGACTACAAACAAATCCCTAGAGTATATAAGTCATCTTTGCTGCTATTGCAAAGAAGTAATTCCTTTTGTTTCGTACATAATTTTTGTACTTGCATTTTTACTTTTTACGTTCTTGTTTTTCTCAACTCAACTGAAATGTATACCTACAGTAGTGTTTAAAATTGCACAAGCATACTCGAACATCCAAATGCTCGAAGCATTTATTTTAACAACACAACAACAATTGACAAATAAAAGTGCCATTCGCTTGGAAATCTCTATATAAAACTTTAGTATAAATATTTTTAACATTTAAAATCAACTTAAATAATGTCTTATATTTGCAATAATGAGTATTGTATATATTAGAGGATGATAAATAAATTTTTATAGCAATTTGCAGTTTTTATGCCGTTATATCGTAGCCTAATTTTTTTTAATCTGTTTGTATTATGGAAAACAATTGAAAACATAATTATTATATCATTAATGAATATTGCTTTTAATAGGAACTAATAAGTCAAGTCTACTTTTCAAAGATTCGTATAAATATTCATTTATTTTTAAATATCTACAAACCCATCTTAATGTTGAAAATGGTAAATGTTTTTATATCATTGCATGCGTCATTCCCCATTTTATGTAAAATAATATCAAATTACTTTATATCGCATTTTTTGTACATTATATTTTTAATGCCTATGACTATTATTCATTTCTATAAGTAGTCCAACTGGATTTTATGAAAAAACACAATACAACAATTACCCTTTTATATCATACATATAGTGGTCAAATTATTCATGTTCTTGAGAACCCCGAAGGAATAATGTAAGAAAAGGAAATAATAAAAAAATAATAATAACATGGCAGGAAATATGATCCTTTGGTATGTCAACTGGTCAATTTGGTGTTATACGATTTTGTATTGAACAATATTTTAAAGACCTTTAAGTTATCTGCCCCTTGCGCTTATATTAAATATCAAACTGTTTATACAGCAATTTTTTATTACTTGATTTACAGTACGAGAATTTTTTGTTTGTAATTTAAGCAACGAAAAGGTCATAAACAAGGTTTCATAATTTAAAATTTACCACAAAAAATTAGCTGAAGTGGCTTTTTCGTTTAGGATTATTAAACTAAGTGATATCTAATACTGGATTATAGAATTACACATTTAAAAAAATTATTTTAATAAAAAAAGTTTTATTTTGCAAGTATTATAATATTGGATAATACAATTATTTACTTAAAAAATTAATTTTAATTAAACAAATTATATTTTATAAGCATAATAATTTTAACTATTTTTAAATAATTTTCAGTTTTAAATCAGTTATTATGCTTACTCATATCAAAAATGATAAGGAATTGTGTTTTTGTTTTTGGCGCGCACTTTTAGTGTGTTTTTTTTATTTAATTTTTATTATCAGTACAAACATAAGGTAATTTACCGTTCAAGCAAACGTAATAAAATAATAAAAAAAAAGGTTTATTATAAGTCAAAAAAGTGACGATTTTGTACTTTCTAGGTAGTGCTAAGATAGACTATAGTCATACTGCAGTGTTTGATCATAAGCTAAAAGCACATGATGATAAATAGAAAAATACAACAAAAAACAAAATCGTATAAACAATATACAGTAAAAACTCTTTAAGAGTAAAACTAGTTTTATTGTTATTATAATGATAGTCTCAAACATAAAAAGCATATGACCTAGTGGACATTTTAATATGATGGAGTATTTACCTCAACCACCTCTATTTAGTAAACTGTTTATTTTTTTTTTCCAATAACAAAGTCATCAAGTTTCTTTAAATGAACTATATCCAGCTAATTTCTTTCAGGAGAAATCTTCTAAAGAGATTTATGAAGCCGTTAGAATAACATACTATAAATTAGAACAGTACATATAAATAATGATTACATATTTAATTAAAATTAATGATATGAAGATAAAGTTATATCACATTATAAAAGTATGTGATATTGGTTTGTAATATTTTTACATACAAATTTTATTAGAAGACTCTTTTCATTAATATAAACTGAATTAATTAAGTATTGTACATTATTGTTTCGAAAAAATCATTGCTTGCTTAAAATACCAATTTTATAATTCCTTAGTTTTTCTAATTGATTTTTTTTTAAAAATTAGAAGTCAAATTCAAATTAAATTTTGAAGTTTTTTGGTTAAATGAATTTTTTTTTAATCAAAAGTTCATTCAGACTACTTTTCAAAAATTTTTAAGAATAATAATACTTTTTTTCGACAATTATTTTATTCTTCTGCTAGTATTGTGATTGATCTCGTTTCTAATTTTATATTGATCCTTTCTTATTTCACTACGTAATACATAAGTTTGAGTTGCGAACTCATTCAGTTCAGATTGAGTAAAAATGCATAAGCACATTATTGTTGTATACAACATGCAAATGCAAAAACTATGTTCAAACACAACAATAATTATATCTTGTGTGCTATAAGAATTTGTTAGCATCCACAAAATTCATTTTAGTGAACAGTGCGAAATAGTAAACCACCTGCAGCAAATATTTTATTGAAAATTGAAATTTTATTAGCTATTTATTGATCTACAGCATAACTTTTAATTTATATTAAATGTTGTATCAAGAAAAAAAACTAATTCCTTTAGATAATTAAAATATTTTTAATGTCCGATTTAATTACTTCAATAAACAAGTTTACTTATTGTTTCATAAAAATTGTTTTATTTTCCTTGTTCTTCACATTAAGTTTTTTTACAGTCTGTATGTTAACTATTAAATATATAAATAAATAGTCAATATATTTATGAATTTATCTGCAATAATTATAATAACTTTAATAAAAAAAGTCTCTGTAATGGTTATAACTTAAATATCATCACTTTTCTTTTTAAAATTAAAATCAAAATCATCATATCATATAATAACAAAAAATTTTGTAAAAATTATATTACTTTTTCAGTTATGGCAAATATAATTTTTCTTCTGATATTCCATAGACAAGTTCGTTCAATTCACAATAGAAGTACTTCATATCAAACTTATTCTTCAGTATCTAACTCGCTTTTAATACGAGTGTCTTCTGTAGAATTCTTATCAGCACTTTCCAACTAACAAGTGCCACTTTGATCATAAAAAAAACGTTTGTTGTTAATAGTTTTTTTTGATAATAAAAATAGACACTTAACAAGTTGGTTTATAAACACAAAAAAATACATTACATATAAATAAACTGCTTTGTCTTCCCTTACGTTGCATATATTTGTGTGTATCCTATGTGTATACATAATGATGTATTTAAGTATCTTTGATATATTTGAACGTGTTTATGACGATCGTTCTTATCTTTACTTAACACTTTTATTTTCCTTTATAATATATTTAGGTAGGCCACCATTACTTGCAGTTGTTCTAATTTTTTATTTTTAAGAAATCAAATAAAAATGTATATCAAAACCATCTAAAAGCGGCAAGTACACTGGCCTATTTTTTTACCAAAGTCTAAAATTTCGTAATTTTAAAACAATAAAACTGAGTGACCCTGGTACACTTATTGTAAGTGGTTTCGAAGTTTCATAATAATTTTGTTTTTACCAATTTTGTTAAACAGTTTTTGTTTTTAATTACATTTTAAAGATCGTGGGTATTAAATAAAATAGCCACTACATATCTAAAAGTCATAGAAAATATAATTCTAAATTATATATGAGTTTTTCATACATAATTTAGAGTAAATATTTTTATCTCTCAATGTTTATCTCTTAGAGTGTTGATATTGGATTAAATTGACATGCTGATTTAATGTGGAAAAATGATTTATGTGAGTAAAATCATATTAATTTAAAATTGTAAAAAATTTTATTAATTGCTTGAATATAAATTATAATAAATTAACTTAATTTTTATTTATTGGTTTTAAAAAAATTCTATATTATTATAATTGCATACAATTTTAGAATAATTAGAATAATATACATTTTTAACTTAC